GCCCCGCCCGGTCGCTCTGGGCCGGCGCCCTGCCGCTCTCCAGCCCGGTGGGAGCCCTGCCCGCGGAGGGGTTTTGTGTTTATTGGGGGGTGGAGGGGAGGAAAGAAGGCACTTTTAAATTACAGTTTATTTTAGGTGTAACAATGCTAACGCTTGTGACTGCGGTAACTTCCATTTCAAACGTAATTAGCATAAACTTTGTGGAAGCAGTAATTCAATAAAGCAGAAGTTGAAAGTAAAGGCTCCTGGAAGCTGTAACAGTCTCGTCTTAAAATGGTGAACTATGCCAAGCTATTGCAAAACAACCCTGCCTCAGTGTCTGATATCTCCAGTTACTTGGTTGTTAGCCTTTGATAACCAGTTAACTCCTCCGGGGCTAGAGCCTGCTCTTAAATTAAAATGATTAAAAACTTTTATTAAAAAAGCAACCTGTATACACAAAGTCAAGTACTTTTTTTTTTAAAGCACCCAATTTTTTTTCCTTTAAACTACACAAAGAATTCTATCAAAATTACTTGGTTCAGACAAGCAAAAAATAGAAAGGCATTTTGTGCACTTCTCCTTTCAGGAAAATCCTTAATAGGCTATACAGACAATACATTCATTTTGCTTAAGTAAATTGCCCAAGCACACACCAGTCTTAGATTTAACTCTTTTTGGACTTCTGGGACTGGTCCTTCACACTGATCTTCAAATCTTTAAAAAGTCAAAAAAGACTTGACCTGTGAAAACAAACGAAAAACATGATTGAAGAGTTTCAAAAGTTTGCTGGAAAAGACTTGATCACTAATTTGTTAGGCTTTTTCCCTTCTGCTCTTAAAAGAACAATTTATTACTGTACAGTCTTCAACACTGTTTTGCTTGTACACAATTCACATGCCTTTCAGTATAGCAAATGGCTGTTGATGAGTCCAGGATTTGTATGATGAGACTAGCCAGAATTGAGTAACAGGTATCTTAAGAGCAATCTTGGGGTGTCAGGAGAGGGAGGTTGACATGTCTCACTGAGTGAAATAATGTAATTCTGCGCTTAGAGGTTTGGGGATGAGCCCAGTCCCTTTCAGAATCCCACATTTTCTGCTTTGGAGTGGGTGCACAGTGCATGGCTGCAAGAGGAGACTTTGGACATCTACTTGCTAAGGCTTGTCTTTCCTCTGCCGGAATTGGCAAACACCATTTTGTTTCATGTGACCCATTCACCATAACCTTGTTTCTTCTAATGGCTGTTTTTTTTCCCCGCCCAACTCAGTGTTACATCATGCATTGAGAACTAGCTCGAAGAGCTCTGCTATCTTCATATTTGTCAGTGTGGTACTAGACTCTGTCAAGGAAGAACCTAGATCCCTTGAAAGGGAGGGAGCATAAGAGTGTTAAGTTCAGACCACAGTCCTTTTTTCTGAAATAATTCTGGCTGACATGAATTGGACAGCACAGTTTTATGAACTATTTAGTAAACAGTACAGCAGTGCAGACTTGGCTGAGAGTACTGACTAGTTCAGCTGTCATGTGCTGTCTCTCCCCACAACTGCCCCTCAAAAAAGCCTCTGCTTTTTTCCCCAAACTGTTCTAAGTGAGAATGGTTAGGTTGGGTTAAAGTCCTTCATGGAGGAAGGCAAGAAGTCTCTTCTATAGCCATGTGACATTCCAACCCTGTACAAAGGAGACTAACCGTACTGGCTCCAATTACTGTCTGCTTGCTAAACTGAATTTGATGAGTTAATAGAGGTCACAAATTTTGAAGAACTTAAGATTTACAGCTACTACTGAAATAAAAGCAGCTGAGCAAACCTTATTTCATGCTTACCTTATCCATCAGGTACTCCTGTTTAATCTTATCATTCTTAAAATCTTCGTTAACATCCAAAACCAGAATGGGAATCTCCTTAAGGTTGTCAAAATCAACCCTGTTAAGGGGAAAGACATCATGGTAGTTGCATGTAAAATCTCTTCCAGTTGCTTTCTAAGTCATTCTAAGGGTGCAGCATTACTCAGATTACCACATGCACCTGAGATGTTAAGGCTAATATCAGTGACCTAAGTATAAATCCCTGGTCAAGTATGCTCTTAATTACTCTTGTATAATCAGTTGACATTGTATCAGCATAACTTAAAGGCATATCAGAAACTTGACCTTTCCCTATCTGGCTGTATTTTACAAGTAGAAAAAAAAAAAAGCTGCTTATGCTTGTTTTAACTTACTAATGCTCATCCCTGTCACCTACTTTTTTTGATAGGGAATCAATATCAGGAATGTGATTCTGATAAGTGGGAGTATTTTCTAAAATATTGATGTTATTAGTGTCTTCCCATCCCCTTGTAGTTAACTGCTAATCCATTTACAAAGTACAACTTTTAAAGCTTCCTTTGGCAGGCATGACCTCTTAACAGGTTAGAAACCTTAAATACTTAAAGCAGATTGGAGCAGTAATTGTTTTGACTTGCTGTTCATTTTCTCTTCCTATTGTCCGTGAAAAGCACTTCTAAAATACAGTAAATATGCTGAACCACTTTCTAACTTGTTTTTGCAGACCAAGCATTCCTGGAAGGGGGAGGGAGGAACAACACAAAACAGGAAATACATACTCCATTCCAAACTTATGAGCAAATATTGTAAACATTTTCTAAATTCCACAACATACAGTGCATTCTTGCCCCTAAGCATTTGGGTCATCCTGCATTAAATGTATACTTAGGAGAGCAGATGTGAATGTATAACCTAACATACTCTTCTTGGCGTTGTTATTAGTCTGTTAATGTTCCATCTGGAAATAGTCTCTTGCTTTAGCTGAAAAGGTGTGCTTGTCCACTGAGTGCTAGGAACACATCCTGAAGACTTCATGGATATTCTTCTGTTGTGGTAGCAAATCACCATGCTAAAGACAGGTGCTTCAGTCAGTAATAAATGATGTTTAACCCTCTGCTTCCCATCCAGTAGAGTATTTCAAGCTCTCGTGGAGCAAAATCTAAGGTTCTCTTCCACAGAGCAAATCCTTGCATGGGAGGATT